ATCGGCCGAGAGGCAGTCGTCGTCGATGAAAATAGGAAAAACGACAAGCGGCCAAAGAAAATGATGAGAACAAATTCCAAAAGCTGAAATTGCATTATGTCGATTTTGTGGATTTTTCTATTTTATATGCTAAAGAGAACGTGGGATGCGAAAAAAGTAAAAAAAATAAATGAAGAATATAACTGACGCAAGATGCTCGGCTGCAAGTAGCTTAAAGAGAAGCCCCGCCTCAGGCCATAAGAAACGTCAACATTAAGGGACAGTGCATACCAAAAAAAAAAAAAAAGAAAAATTACTTTCGCGCAAGGACAAACATTTTCGAAAGACTTTTATTGGTTTAAGCTAAGAGCAGCAGCAGCAGCCGCAGGAGCAGGAGCTGCTGAAACAGGTGCTGCGCCCATTCCCAGCTGAGTTAAATGAAAGAAAAGTACAAATAAAATAAACCCAGAGAATACTCAAGCTTTAACGATATGATAACTGTTGGAAAAGATAAATATAAAACTTAAGACTTTGGGAAAAGTGACTCCATTTCAAGAATATAAGTACTTAAGTTAATCAGAAATGAACATTCACAGATTCCCATTTAAATGTGTCTTCAGTTTCTATATATATAAAGCCTCCCTTTCCTTTGTCCATATCATATTTGCTCGCACGGCAATCGCTTGGCTATACCAAATAAATTGTATGGCCCGAAAAAACTTGCTCGCACTTGAATTTTGTGTATTATCTGGGCGCACGGGCTGACTCAAAGGCAGAGCTGCTGCTGCTGGGCGTGTTTTTAATTGCCGGGACAATTAAAAACAATTTTGCAGGCACCCAGAGCGGGGCAATAAATTTAATTGGCCGCAGTGACGCCCCTTGGAAGACGCCCCCTTTGACTTTTGTTGGCTTTTATGGTCTCCCCCTCTCACTCTTCCTTTCCCTTTACCTATAACTCTACCTCTACCTCATCCTATCTCTATCTCGATTTTCATTTTCATTTTCATTTCCAGCTTCATCTCCGGCTGCTTTTCTGGGTATTTTGGCTTGGCAGCCATTTTCGCACCTACTGACAAGGTGTCTGTGTGGGGTGCGCAGCAATTTATGCGGCTGTCAAATGCAACCCTGCTTGATTTTTATTGGCAGCAAACACGCACGTAACCCCCTCCCCCTCTGCCTCGCCCACCCTTTGCTTTTCGGGTAATTGCATTGAGCACATAAATCAATTGAATTGCATTTTCATGCGACAAGTTTGGCCAACGAACCCTCCTGGACTGGTCCGCGCCCCCGCCTGCAAGTGAAAGCTAAAGTAGTTTTTCCTTAGAGCTGTCTTTCATCTTTTCGCACAGTTTCTAGCCCTGGTCCTGCTGTGAAACCCTTTCGAGCGAAGCATAATCAATTGAAATTGCATGCAATGCGTCAAAGCCAAAGCCAAAGTCCATGTCGTTGTGGAAAAGGGGAAGGAAAAGGGAAAGGGAAAGTCCGGAGTCGGAGTCGAAGTCAATTCCCCGCTTCTGCGGCATCCATTAGTTTCGGCTTGCGGCTGCCCCCATTTCTAGAATTTGAGGTCTGTTCACGTAAAAAGATTATCAGAACTTCGTTTATTGCTTATCAAATTAAATGATTAATGTTTGTGGCTCTTTGTTGTTGCTGCTGCTTTTGGCTTTTCCTCGTTTTGCTTTTCCAACGAAACTGTCAGCAACAGTTTTTCACAGTTCAAATGTGCTTCTTTATATTCATTTTATTTTTCTGTAGTTGTTGTTGTTCTTGTTGTTGTTGCTTGTTGAGCATTTTATTGAGAAAGTTTTGCGGCGACTTTGTGGCTGTTAACGCTCTGTTGATTTGCTCTGGGGGCAATCGGAGGCGGCAAATCATATTTCACTTATTTGGAATATCAAATTTTTGTACGACAGTTTGATAACAAATTTGCATATCTGATGCAACAAGTGCCGCATGCTGGACAACAGCTTTCACTTGAGGCTAAGCAGATAAGAATGGGCACATTTTCGAGGGGTTGTGATAAATGGGGAGAGATGAGATGAGAGAGAGCAAAAGTTATAGGGCGAGAAAAATGAGAAAAATCCAAAACTAGGAGACAACTTCCACGAAATAGGCAATTGCTTCCACTAAAGTCTTTAGAAGCCTCCACAACTGGGATAATAACTTGGGCTTCACAAATTTTGATATTATATGTTTAACTTCTGATTTAAAAAAGTCAACTAGAAGGAAGTTCCGCATACTGAAATGTTTAATAATCCATGCCTTTACATTAATGTAATAATTCCATGGAAATTACTTTTACTCAGCTAGTTTGATGGAACAATTATTTTGACTTAACATCCACAAGCTCCACACATATATTCTATATTCAAATATTATATTGTAATTACAATATGTGGACTTAAGGCCCACACATGTTCCACATGCATAAATATGTTATGTATAATCAGACCAACTTACTTTAAGTCCAATCATATACTTCCTTCAAATTTAATATATTCATTAGAACATTTTAGGCACAGACCCACTCAAGTTCCACTCACAAATTTTAAAACTATTTTCCGCTTGTGTCCTACATAAAGAGCTGGCCAAGCATGGCTCGCATTTTTGCTAGCTGTCGGAATAGTTGTAACTAATGCACCCGCATGCACGGCATATGATCCACAGCCCATTAATCAGCGAGGGCATCCAAACAAAAGTATAACTCATCAACGCACAAATTACAAAGACAAACGATGACTGACAATGGCCAAAGCTGCCACCACTTACTACCCACAATCCACACACACACACACACACTCGCACACACTCGCGCTGTGGGCCAGAGTTTTTGTTAATTAAACAAATGCCGCAGTGACATGTGCACATCAGGATGATGACTGGCGTTTGGCGTATGTTGAGCGCGTCGCAGTTTGCGGTTATGCATCTGCAGGGCCAAATTGTCACAGGGTGTGTGGGGTGGGGCTGGGTGGGGGTGGGTGAGGGGAGGCAGGTTACAGTTTTTGGGGCTAGCTTCTGAATGCACACAATTCCGGTTGACAAAAGTGGCGGCGCCGCCAACAACGTCACTGAAAATGGCTCCGCATGCAATTTAATTTATTTCAATTGCAGCTGAAATTATTACGACAGGCGACAGTCTCGGGCTGCGAGGGGCGTGCGGGGGGCAACAGGCGACAGTCGACAGTCGACAGGCGACAAAGTGCCGTCGCAGAGCACCGCAGAGCAATTTGCTCATATTTTGTATTTCTTTGTTTGTTGCAGCTTTTCCCGCTGTTCATAAACAAATTCTGGCGCGAAGAAACCAAACGCAGTAAGCGTCAATTTCAATTAAACAGACATCATCAACACGATGATGATGATATTAATGTTGATATTGACGATGATGATGATGATGATGATGATGATGCACCCAGCTGCCCTCTAGCTGCCTCGTATGTGTCTTGCCACATTTGCCACCGCGTCAGAACTCGCGCTTAACTTGCATCACAAAGTGGTCGGGTTGCGGCCAGGGTTGCCACCGCAGCGCAGCGGCTGCCCACACACTGGGATAGTTAACTCTGGCCAGATAAGTAGCTGACTTTCATAGCGGAAAATCGAAATTTTCTCATTTTCACTGTTTATTGAGGCGTTACCAGGCAGGCGAACACATCGTGCACTCTTGAGAGTTGGCAGCTAATAAAGCGTTTGATTTACAAGCAAATATAGTTTGTGATAAGTCGCATATCAACTTTTTCGTTTTGAAAGTATTAAAGGGAATTATAATAAAAAAGATTATAAAGCATTCGATTTACAGGGTAATAACATTTGTAAAAACTTTAAGTCTCATATTAAGTGTAGCATTAACTTTTTTACATCGAAAGAATTAGAAGAAATGAAAATAAAATATATTCCTATAAGAAATATTATTTGTGAAAACCTTAAGTCTCTCAATAAACTGCTTTAAGCTTGTTATATAAATTAATAGTTAATCATGAACCGAACCTTAAACCATTTTTTTATAATTTTTAATATCGATATTTTAAATTCGATACTTAAACTTTTATTTTTTACGAATCGAAACTTGAGCTAAACCAAGTGCTGAACCCCAATCCAAATTGAACCAATTTTTTCTGAGTTCTTAAATAATACACTTCTAAGGAAAGGACAATGAAATGGTTGATGTTTAATCATGAACGGAAAGCTGAACCTAAGTCGATTAGTAATTAGTAACTTTAACTAAGTAAGTGGGTCTACCAGTTGCACATTTTAAAGAACTTGAAGGCCTTTCTACTTAGTTAGCCAAATTTAAAGCAGAGTTCAAAAGCAGAAAGCTGGTTCGAGCTGTGAACCGAAGCACGCTCCCCGCTTCAAAGAATCTGCTCGCTTTTTAACCACGGTGCGCGCTGCCCCATGGTCTTTTAAGTAGCCCGCAGCAATTGCAACTGTGCCTTAGTTTAGCCCAACTTGACCCCAGCGCTCCCTTCCCCCGCCCACGTCCACAAAGATTCCATTAATATAATGTGGCTAAAACGAACTGCACTTGGCCCAAACGGCGCTGACTTTTGCAATGCCATGCATTCGCCATGGGTGGGCCACCAGATATAGTTTCATTTTCAGCGTTTAAGCATTGTGTTGCCAGTTGCTCTTGTTGTTGTTGTTGTTGTTGTTGTTGTTGCTGTTGTTGTTTTCTGGTCGCACAGCGCCGCAGAGTTTCAAGTGTAAATTAATTTATGAGGCACGCGGCGTCAACGGCGCCGCGCTGTGCGGCTTGGCTCGGCAATAGCGAATATATTCGAGCGCCACACACCCCCCCATCCCCCTGCCACACCCCTTTGACCATTTGGCACTTGCCACTTTTGGCCATTCGCCATTTGAAATGTCAACCAAAGTGTGAAATTTCATATTGAATGATGATGCGGCCGTCGCCAACGCTGCCATTGACAAATGAAGCTGACCGAGGGGAACTGCATAATTGAACCCAGGCACATATATACACTATATATACATATATATACTCTATACTCTATAAATGTCTCACTTACCTATTAAAGTGCCGATGACGCAGAGCGCGGCGAGCAGCTGCAAGCAGGCAAACATTTTGTTGGCTTTTTTTTTGTTTTTCGATACAAAGTGCGTCTGAAAAGAGATGAGAGGGTTTAATTGTTTATACACAAGTTGATTTGACTGAGTTGTCTATTATACACATGCATCATCATAATTATTGTTTTTCCTTTCATTTTCTATTTTCCACTTGTTTTTTTTTTTTTTTGTTTTTGTCAACCACGCCCCGCTGCTCAATGTTGAATGTCTAGACGCCCCGTCGCTGCGGCAGACACATGCAATTTGTCGCTTGTTTAGCACGCCATAATAGAGACATTACGTTTCCCCCCCCCCCCCCCCCCCCCCCCCCCCCCCCCTCTACCCCCTGGCTGGTCCGCTCCTGTTCCGGCGTTGCCGAAAGCAAGTGTCAAGCGGAAGCGCCACCTGTGTCGACGACGATGCCGATGCCGATGCCAATGTCATCATTCAAATGTCATTCGCTCTTACAAATTGTTGTTTGACATGGCATGCCGCTAATCAAAACAGAACACACACCTCGGCACACACACACACACACTATACACTACAAAGCGCCACAAATGTCAATCAACACCAGGGGGGCATATACACACTCGCCCATCCTTGTGTGCAATTAAGCGCTGCAAATAGCACTGGCTCGATTTGTGGCCCAACCCCTGGTCAGTGAATGTTGGGTGAATGTGGATTGCGGCTTTGTTACGCCACGCCACGCCCACTCGATTGACCAAAAAATTTTCATTAGTTTGGCCATTGTCCAGAATCTGTATCTGAATCAAAGTCGAAATCGGAATCGTAATCAGAATCGTACTGGCCGCCGGCTGCTTTCTGTTTGGAAATCACTCGATGATTGTCATCGTAGGTGTGACTAATTGTTGCTCATTTATCTTCTTTGCCTTCGCTCTACATTCTTGTCTTTGCCTTTGCCTTTGCCTTTGGCTGCGCTTTTTGTTTCCATGGTAGCCATGAATAATTTCCGTTCCCCCTTAACCGGTTAGCTGGGGCCCTTTTTCGAACTGTTTGCCCAAATTAGATACATTTGATCGAATTGATGGCCCAATTGCCAGCTCGAATGGGCTTTTCGCTTACGCATTCAAAACCGGATGAAGGGGCATCAATTACCAGTTCAGTGTACAAGTAATTGCTATTTTTATGTCGCAGATCAAAACTGATCGCTTTGAATCAAGCCTAAGAACATGCCAATCGATTTGTACATCATTTGAATGTTTGCTAATTTATATACGAGAGCAATTTGTAGAGTGTAACCCAAGTGCACAGCCCTTTGCTCACTTAAATCATATTTAATACGGATAAAGCAAGTTGTTTAGTATTTATCAAAAGCCTAATGGACTATTTGCATATCTTGCATTTCAGACTATTTATCAATTAGTTAGTCTTAGGCTCTAGTCACAGTTTCTACTCCAATTAGCCAGCAAGCGGAATGCAGTATGTTGCATTCCATTGATCGATTACATTTCGATAACATTCATTTCGATTCATTCAGAGATTGTCCTGCATGTTTTCATACTTTCAATCAATCGATTTGCACATCATTTAAATTGTTGCCAATTTATATGCGAGAGAAATCTGACAGTGAAACCTAAGTGCACAGACCTTTATTTATTTAAATTATCCTTAATGCAGACAAGGAATGTTGTTCCTGGACTATTTGTTTATATTCTGTTCCAAACTATTGAGCATGTAGTTAGTCTAAGGCTTTAGTTTTCTACTTTCTTTCTACTCCAATTAGACAGCATGAGGAATGCAGTATGTTGCATTCCATTGATCGATTACATTTCGATCACATTCATTTCGATTCATTCAGAGATTATCCTGCATGTTTTCACATTTTCAATCAATCGCTCAAAGGAGCTTTCACTGCATGTACTATATCATAGTCAAATAAATATTTTGCTTTTTTCAAATAAGTTTTCAGCAACACATTTTCATGTCATCGAAACCAATTCCCCTGCTCAACGTGTTGTTGTAACATATGTGCCATGTTCAGCTCTGTTGTTTGATTGACAAATGCTTTGAAAGCGGCCACATGGAAGGCACAGACAAATATTATACCGAAATGATTGTCAAAAATTGTTCGCATGCAATATTTGGCTGGGCTCTGGTCTCTGGGCACAACAGCTAACTAGCCATAAATGCCCCAATGGCTTGCGATACATGTGTATCTGTTCGCCCCTAGGCTGTGTATCTGTCAGATACAGATACACCCGTGTGTGTTGCAACCCCCGACAAATGCTATGGCAACACTTACGGGGTGTGTGTTCCCTTATTCATTTTTTATATTATTTTTTTCTGTGTTTTTTCTTTGTTTTTAGGCCGACAGGTGCACACACGTCTCCTTTTTCAAACTAATTTCAAAGCGAATGCCTTGGCAGGAGGGGAAGAGAGAGACGGAGAGAGCTCGCACTTGCTCGCGTGTCTCGGCTGATTTGCATAATTTGGCCGTTAAGTGGCGGAAAAATGTAATCGAATGAACAGATAGGCAGCCAGGTGCCTAGGTGCCTAGGTGCCAGCTATTTTTGCGAGCGCCCCCAACTGTAATTAGAATATAACATTTGTTGGCAAAAACAAGCCGAAAAAAAAGTCATTCGCTTCTTTACTTGAATAAAACCAAATGAGTCTCGAATGTGGGCAGACATATATATTTATTCGTGCGTCCCAGACAAGTAGCCAGGCCCTCACCTGAGCCTGAGCCGGAGCCGAAGGCAGCCCCACAAGTGAGCAGCGTTTGTTAACCTTTTTAGCCGCTGGCCCCATTCCGGGTGGGTGTTAATAAAACTGTGCTTATATAACAATGTCAAGATACTTTTACATTTCGGTTCATTGGTTTTTTAGTGCCTTGGTGTTTGGTCTGCCTACCCGACCTCGCGCTGCCTCCCACTGCCCAGCTGAACAATAATATGTGACAATTCAGCTGAGGTATAGGTTACCATGACAGCAGTCCTTAGACGCGTTCGATGCCCAATTGAAAATTCTCGAAGTTATCAATTACAACAACGACCCGCCAGCGATTGTCTCTATGCTGCGGCTATACAAATGCCAAGTCTAAGTCCGGACAATGGCAAGAGTATAATGTATCCGACAGTTTCTATAGCTTCTGATGCTGCCTCGAATTACCAAGTTCAAATTGATTTTGGTTTTTTCAACATTTGTAGCTAAGTTGTAACGAATGTGGAAACTCAAGCTGAGTCCATTTAAGAGCTAGCGAAAAAAGCAAGACGCACACAATCAACCACAAACGATCTATAAATACAATGTTAAATATGACTCGCTTTTATGACAAACAATTAAGCTGCTTGCTCTTAAATTAAACAAAAACAAGTAAGAGGTTCTAGTCGAGAGCTCCCGACTAGGGGATACCCTGAACCCTCTTCTTCCAACATCAAATGCATATATATATTCTATTTTAGAAACTATATGTCAAGTTTGGTGACTCTAGCCCTTATTATTTACCAAAATTGCCCAAAAAACAGGATATCGATATCGATTTTTATCGATTGCTTGGAAACGGAGTAAGTTATCGATTATCAGAAACAAACTCGATCTGAGCTCTATATGTTCTTAGATCCTTGCGTTCATACATACGGACAGACAGACAGACACACAGACGGACATGGCTAGATCGACTCGGCTATTGATGATGATCAAGAATATATATACTTTATGGGGTCGGAAATGCTTCCTTCTGCCTGTTACACACATTTGGATTTTGCACAAATACAATATACCCTTTTTACTCGTTTTCAATGGGTTCAGGGTATAAAAGTACTAATCACAATGCCGAGCTGCTTATAAGTGAATGTTAGGCAGCTCTGGGTTCAGTTTCCGAGCGACTTTCACGATGGGAGCATTAATCGGCCTGGGCTTGCTGTTGCTGCTCTTTGGACGGACTCTAGCCTTGGACAGGGCTGAATATCAAGATGGAATTAGTTACGAGCAATTGTCATGTATTTTACATAATATACAAGAAGAAGTTGAACAGCGTGACGAGCGTCTTAGAAGATGCTGCAAGCTGCTCAGAGCACTCGACAATGAAAACAATTGCGATTTTTGTTACGATCAGAATATTTTATATACGATAGAAAATATGAAAGTCGAGTGCGCGGCTGGCTTGCAGGGTGGACTGCGACCAGGATGTAATCGGAATCCACTGACACACAAATGTCAAAAGTTATTCCCAAAAAAGTTAAGCAAGAATTGAGCAAAATTTAAGTGAAAATTAATTTAAATGAAGCTCACACAAAGCAAGCGGGTTGGATAATACTAACAAAAGCCTCGCCCACGACAAGCTTTATATATAAAAAAAAAAAAGCCTCTTCGCTTTGTTTCTCTTTCAATATGCAATAATTATTTATAATCAGCTTGAGTTTTATTAAAATTGATATTACGCAAAAGGCTGTGGACCAAGAATCTAGCTATATAAAACTATTAATCGCCTTTTAAATACTCACCATAGTTATATATGCCCTTGCATGTTTATAATATTTTAGCCTGGAGAACTGAATAAACATTGAAGTAAATCAACTTTGGCTGCCAATTAAAGGCAATTAATAAATCAAGCGTTATAATAAAAGAAGCTCCAAGTATTTGCTTTTAATTAAGACAGAACAAAAAAAACTACTAGCAATAACTTTTGCAAGCAGCAAAAGTTAAATAAAAAGGGCCGCGCTGCCAAATCGATTTCAGAACATAAACAAAATGTTTAACACGAAGACAAGAAGAAAGTTGGCCATAAAAAAAAGGCTAGGGGGCCGCATAAAAAATTCTCAGCTAATAAACTAACAAGAGCCGCGGCAAAAATGTATAAACAATCGAATCTGTGTGTGTGTGCGTGTGTGTGTGTGTGCTATACGATTTGATACCCTCTAATTTGTTTATTTTGCGCTAAATGCACAGCAAGAAACAACAGCAGCAACAACAATGAGAGAGAAGTGCAGCAAGTGCCATAAAAAATCAACAGCAGCACGAGGCGTTGGGAATTACAAATTTATAAACTGGCAAATGCGCCATGTGTGAGTGGGTGGGGGGAGTTGATAGGGGGG